TCCTCCACTGGATCCAGTGGTCTGACTTTGGCTATCCACCTAGTCTACCTTTGTTCTTCCCATTTTTAGGTTCTGTTTCCCCAACCTGCCTGATGAGTCTAACTGTGGTCCAGTGGCTTTTCAGTTCACACTGGCAGGTCCTGCTGCATGTAATTAAAAACCTGGGCTGGTAATCTTAGCACTCTGTGAGGCCCAGGTGGGTGGATCACTTGTGTTCAGGAGTTCGAGACCAGCCTGAGCTAGGGCAAGACCCCATCTTTACTAAATATAGAAAAAAACTAGCTGGGTGTTGTGGCAGGTGCCTGTAGTTCCAAACACTTGGGAGGCTGAGGCAAGGGGATCACTTGAGCCCAAGAGTTTGAGGTTGCTGTGAGCTATGTTGACTCCAGGGCACTCTACCAAGGGCAACAAAGTGAGATTCAGTCTCCAAAAAGAAAAAAAAAAAGGTGGTGGCCAAAGAGGGCTTTAGAGAACAGGTGATGATGGATGAACTACCTCTTAGTGAGAGTCCAAGTTTCTCTGATGGCTGGAGGGAGAAAAGGCATTCTAGCTGGGGGAGCAGTGCTCACGGGAGTGGGGGTGTCATGGGTGGCTGAACTGCCAGAATACAAGATGGAGAGCTGGGAGATGATACCAGAATTTCAGGCAATAAACCACCCTGTTTACTGTTAAGGAGCCTGAATGTCTCTTGTAGCCCCAAAGGAAAGGTTTGCTGAACGTAAAGTTAATGTCACCAAACAGAAAAGCTGAATTTGCAAAAGGATGTTCAAAAGAGCATCTCACGGGAAAATGAAAGTTCCAGATTTAATGAACACCTTGAAGGTCGGTTTAAACCTAGTACTGCCTCCTAAATCCCTGTATCTCAGGATTTGGTTTTGCTTCTCTGCCAGTCTAGGTTAAGGTGGAGTCTCTTCCATCGCAGGTGTGAGGGCTGTCCTCTTCTCCCTAGCCTGACACTCAAAACTCCAGGGCCAGGCTGGATGTTCAACATTGTGTGAGAGTCCCCAGATCAGTCTGCCAGCTCAAGGCCACAGGGAGGGATCAGAGGCTGTAGGGGAAGTACTTCAGCTGCTTTTCACACAACATCCCCCCTCCCAATTCATAAAGGAAAAGAATGTTGTCCTGGAGTCTGGGGCACAGAGGGGAGCCTGCCCAGGACCAGGCCCTTGGGCGCAAGCAGGCTCTGGGAGAGGGGCAGTGCAACTCATCGTCCCCTCTTCAAGAGGGCAACCAGTCCTGGGCCTCAGGTGAGTGATCCTGACCTTCTGTGCTCCCTCTATACACCTACATCACAGTTTCTGAGCGTTGGGTGAGGCAACTCGGCGGATGCCAACGTGAGCACACACGTAGGTACCCCACCCTCGCCTCCAGCAGTCCTCAGAGGCGCGGCAGGCCTGGCCCGCCCCAGGGTGCTAAGCCTCCCGCAGTCCTAGTGAAGATCCATCCCTAATTAAATTCTTCCTGTCCGCTGGCCACCAGGTGCGCCTTTCGCTGGACGGTGCTAATTCCTGCCCTCTTTGTGTCCGCCGCATGCTCAACCCCTTTCGGGAAGCTCCCCTCCCGCGGCCGCCGCCCCCCTTCCCTTGCCCACTGAGCTGCAGAAGCGCTGCCAGAAAGGTCACGTCTAAGCGCCCACCCGGAGAGCCCTGTGGATATATAAGGGCGGAGGAGAGAGACCGACCTAGCGGCGGCGAAGGAGGAGAAAGAGGGGAAGTGACCGACAAAGGCAGCCGGCCAGCCTTGCCCCCAGGAAGCAACCTGCGGGCGGCGACAGGTGAGGACGCGGCGGCGCTGAACCGCGCTCTTCCCCGGGACCCTCACCCCATCTTCGGGTGCTCTTGCCAGCTGGGAAGGCGAACTTGGGCGCCTCTGGCTTGCCGTGTCCCGAGTTCTTTGAGAACTTTCTGTGCTGCCTGCGGTATGACAAGCGGAGCCGCGCCGGGAGGGCCAGCGTCCCGTCCCTTCCAGGGAGCCCGCGGCCTCGGCTGCCCCCAGGGTCCGCCGCTTTCTGGGGGGATCACGACGCGGGTGGCGAAACGGGGCGGCGGGCTGCTAGGAGCCTTGGGACTACGAACCCCTTCTAGGGAGGTCCCGGGAGACCCCAGTCCTTTGACTCCTCTTCCTACAGATATTCGGGAGAGATATTGCTTCTTCCAACTCGGATACCACAAATTAATGTTGGAAATGGCATCAGGAAAGAAAAGGCTAAAAGTCACAACAAACTCCCTACATTCCGGACTTTTTGGATTCAGATCACTGAATCCCTGTTTTCCTTCCCACCTTAGCGCACCCGAGGTGGCCGCAGGATGATTACATGATTCTTAGGTCCATAACAAGACAGGACAGTCAAGTCCCTCCTCTCCAAGACCCAGATGGGGGCTAAACACAGGTGACCGGGAACTGTCCAAGGTCCTGAAAAGCTCTGTCTCGTTTCGGAAGCCCTGAGAGGACCATAGCCTTGGCCGTTCTTCCCACAAACCTTGATGAGTTTGAACTGATCACAGTGAGTTTCCAGTGAAGGAAGGACAGTCCGCTGGGCATTAGACTTCCCCAAGTTCTTCACATATAAGTAGGGGCGGGGTGTTTCTCATGGTATGGCTGGAAGGAGCCAAGGAAGATAAAAACACGGGTTTATTTTGTAGATTTATGAAATAAGTAGAGATGATAGGTAATTTAATAACAATATTCCTTTGACACTTTTGTTATAGGACTTAACACGTGTGTCATGGTCCAAGGACAGAATTCTGCATCTCTGATCCTCTAATCTTTACAGGAGGGCATGACCAACGTGCAGTTTTAGAGTAACAAAATGTTTTGTTTGGTTCATAGAGAGTTCCCTCACACATGTGACATTCTGATAAGTGTACTTGTATTATAAAGTTAATGTAAGGATTAACTGCAAGCTGCTGTTTTTCCAGGGGTTTCAATATTGGATTATGGCACTTTTCCTACTTAGAAAAAGGACAGTATTTGACATTTCCTCATTATTTTGTTGCTTTAAAAAAAATGACACAAATAAGGTAATATTTGTTCATTGTAGAATAATGGAAAATATACACAAACAAAAACAAATTGCTTTCAGGAATCCATCTAATATTTTAGCAGGAGAATAAGAGCTCTGAGGGGATGGGGAGGGAAAATGTTACCCTGTTACAGCACAGCCAGCAGAGCAGAAGGAGAGGACGTGCTCACTGGGGCCTTCTGCTAAGGCCTGAAATCATGAGGGAGGCTTTTAGCAAATGCAAATCGTTGTGGAATGGCCATCTCTGAGAATTGAAATACAGCTGAGGGAACTGTCAGACCTGTATGATTTTTTTTTTCTACTAACCTGTTATTTTACACGTGCCCTCAGTGACATAACTACCATTTTTTTCTGCTTCTGTAACATCTGGGCATTTTGAGGACCTGGATGGGCTATAGGGTCTCAGAGCTTTAATCTAATTGTTTTGTCTGCCAAGTGTGGGCTGTGTATTTGAACTGGAGCATCAGCAGTCTACAACAGGAGCAGCAAGTCCCTTGGTGTCACCTGGAGACCCCAACGTCAACCAATGCTGTTTCCACATTGCCCCTTCTGCAGAGGCGTGCAGGGCCGGTCAGTGGCTGCTAGCGCCACCTAATGGCTACTCAGAGAACGCTCAGCCGTTCCTGGCAACCTTTCGGAAGCCGTCCCGGAGCTGGCGGGGCTCACGGGGACGGGATTGAGGTGGGGCAGAGAGAAGGAAGTGGCTCCCTGCAGCAGACAATAAGGGCCAGGAGGACTTTCACTTCCAAAGCCTCCCCCATAAAAAAGATTTGGTCCTCACCTTCCCACATGAGAGATTTCTTTTAGGCAAACTTACTTTAAAATGCAAATGTTAATTAGGAGGCAAGACATTTAGTCATCCACACTTTAATGTGAATTACTTTTCTCATGTAATTAGGTTTCTTCTAGCAGCTGACTGAGAAGATGTGAAATCTAGAATGATTGCGAGGTTGGTGAGCTGATCACAGACCTCAGGGTGGCTTCAGGGTGCTGACCTGAATAGAACTGAGAAGCATGAGAGCTAGCTGTGTTGGGGAAGGGGGTGGTGGACACAGGGGCCAAAGGTACCATAGGTGCCCCCTCCTTACTGCCCAGTGGCCTCTTGACCTCAGCATCTACCCAAAGGTGCTTCCTGCCTGCTCACACCAGAAGGTAGTTCCCCCCCCCATATATCCCCTTCAAATCCAGCTATTTTAGACCATATTTGAGAGACCTAGAGAACAAGAGGTATGATATGTAATGTGTTCAGAAGATGAGACAATTTAAAAATAATTGATATCTGCTTTAGAACTAAATCCGAATTTACTGGGGCCTGGGTAAAGAGATCACTTGACTGATTTGTGTCTGGGACATCAAATTAGGTTGTGTGCAGTCTTGACTAATCTGGCCAGTGGTTTTATTTGCTTCTATATAACTCTAATATTAACAGGAAACAGAGTTCCAGAAGAATAATAGGATCCTGGTGAAAGAAAAGGAAAAAGATCACCTTGAGCTAGAATTTCAGTTCCTTTGTCTTTCCTACATAACTGCCCTCCCCTGGATCTGAAGCATTTGAACTATTGCTTCATGTAGGTAGAGAAGGAGAAAGCTCTGTGCTGGGAGCAGGAGAATTTAGCCTTACCATGTCATGAAAACCAAATGGGCTTCAATTTTCCCATCTCCTAAATGAGGGGCTGAACCAAGTGATCCCCCAAATAGCTACCAGCCCTCACCTTTTTAGGGATCTGAATTTAACCAGACATAATGGGAAAATTACCTACAGTTTACTCAGGTCTCTCTCCCTATCACGACTCATACCACCCTGCTTACCTCCCTTCTGCTCAGCACTGCTCCTGTCCTCAAAAAGCCTTAAACTCCACAAGTGAGTTTGTTAATGTTGGCTTCAGGTCCTTCCTGGTGAGTGGCCAACATTGTTCTGCTCCTTGCAGGGGTCCCTCCAATCTTGTTTGCTTCTGCAGAGCCTCAGCCTGTCTGGAAGATGCCGAGGTCGTGCTACAGCTGCTCAGGGGTCCTGCTGCTGGCCTTGCTGCTTCAGGCCTCCATGGAAGTACGTGGCTGGTGCCTGGAGAGTAGCCAGTGTCAGAACCTCACCACGGAAAGCAACCTGCTGGTACGTGGGCTATGGCTGCCATCTTGGTTTGGACATCAGATGAGACTGGGGCTGGGACAGTTCAAAGGGGAGCGGTATGGAGAGAAGGAAATTCATTTCCTGGGAGTGCTCCAACCCAGGCCAGGAGCAAAACTTCGTAGCAAAATCAAAACTAGGCCACTGAGGGGAGGAAGCAGCTTCAGGGAGATTCATAATTTCTGCTGGGGTATCCTTGCTCCTTGGACTATCTTCTACAGAGACCTCACACCATTTAAACTATTTAGAGATAGAAGCATAATAAGTGATCCCTCTATTAATCCTATATTTTCAATCTTTTAGCCTCCAAATCATTCCTTTTTAAATAACCTCGTATCACTCAACATTTTCACTCTGTATTGCTTCCTCTATTATCTACTACCAGTTGCAAAGTCTGCTAAGTAGTTCCACGAATTACCTCTAGAGAAGAAGGAAAACCCAAGGCACGGTTTTTCTGTAACTGATGCTAAATGTCTTATGCTTCAGGCTTCCTGTCAAGTTCTTCTGCAGTCTTTCCAGAAGCATGTAAAGGCCCTTTGTGCCAGGCTGGAGCTTATTCCAGGTCACCACAGGAAGTGAGTGTGTGTGTATGTTGAGTGGCATAAATAAGAAATGATATGAAGTCTAAAGAGTAAGAGACACTACTGATGTTAGTGACTGAGATTTTATCCTGGTGCCAGCACCTACCAGGTGAGGGGATGCACATCATTGCCTGTATGTCTTGCCAATGGAGAAGCGGGAGACAGAGCAGGTTTTATGTATAATATAAAATAGAAACAGAGAACCCAGGGGATTCTGTTCAGAGAGACAAAGGAATTTGTTGATTTGAGACATTCACTTTATAGCCTCTCCTGGTGAGAGCTCACCTGGGAAGGAGCACCACACACAGAGGCCATGAGTGCTAGTTCCAGTTCTGTCACTAATCAGCTGTGGAACCATAACCAGGTCCTTTCGCCTCTCTGAGCCTCCAGTTTCACTGTCTAGAGAAGGGGAGTGTAAATTAGATAATTCTTACTTCCCACTGTTAACATTCTGCAGTATTATAATTATAAATCCCTGGCGTAGGAAGTTTCCAACTCAATAGTGTGTGGGATCCTTTTGTTTTCGTCTCCACATTTCCCAGGTAACTGAAAACTCAAGGCTTAGGTCACTGAACTAAGCAAATATGTATGGCAGTTGAGTCCTCTAGGGACAGGGAGCAGCATATGGGCTTAGGGCGTGTAATGGAAATGGCTCTGGCTTTCCATCTCGTCCTCCGATCAGAATGAGGAGACAGGGAAATGAGCCCTCTCAGCCTAAAGCCTACTGATTGGGGAACAGTAAATGGATTTTAGCTCCGAAGACTTGGAAGAACCAGAGAAAGTGCTTGGTAGGTGCAGGAAAGTTTTGAGGCACAGTGCAGGAAAAGGGCTGGGGTAGGGCATAAAGTGGGTGTGCAGATCCCCAGGTAAGATTGAGGCATTATTGAAAATACTGGCCCTAGAAGCCAGACTTCTGTCACCTGGAGAAATTCTCCCCCAAATTTCAGTCCCACCCCTCCCTGGCCTTGAATTAAACCACGTTTGTTTATTCAATATTCATCTGACCTTCTGGGAGCAATTCCTACCTATCAGGCATATAATGGTAAGACAATGACGCTGCTCACAAAAGCTATGGGAGGGGGGTTAGGCCAGCAGACCACCAGTTGGGATGGGGGATGTTAGAGTTGCCAGGCAGAAGCATTCAGGGGGTACAGGGAACAAGAGTGATGCGCCCAAGTGAGTTTTAGGCGATGTCCGTGAGCGCCAGGATAACCCGGTGGACTAACAGGCTCGGCCTGGAGGCCTCGCGAGGCATCATGGCGCCCTGGGCCCAGGCTCCCTCTGCCTCACTCCCCGGCGTCTTCCCCTAGGAGTGCATCCAGGCCTGCAAGGCCAACCTCTCGTCTGAGACGCCCGTGTTCCCGGGCTATGGCGACCAGCAGCCGCTGACCGAGAACCCCCGGAAGTACGTCATGGGCCACTTCCGCTGGGACCGCTTCGGCCGCCGCAACGGCAGCACCGGCTCGGGGCAGGGGAAGCGCGAGGAAGAGGTGGCGGCGACAGGCGAGGACCGCGCCCCGGAGCCCGCCGGCCGCCCCGAGCCCCGCGGCAATGGCGCCGAGCCGGGCCCCCGCGCGGGCAAGCGCTCCTATTCCATGGAGCACTTCCGCTGGGGCAAGCCGGTGGGCAAGAAGCGGCGCCCGGTGAAGGTGTACCCCAACGGCGCCGAGGACGAGGCCGCCGAGGCCTTCCCCGTCGAGTTCAAGAGGGAGCTGGCCGGCCGGTGGCCCGAGGCGGCGCTCGAGCCCGACAGCCCTGCCGAGGGCGCGGGGGCGCTGGCCGACCTGGAGAACGGCCTGGAGCTGGCGGTCGGGAAGAAGGACGAGGGGCCCTACAGGATGGAGCACTTCCGCTGGGGCAGCCCGCCCAAGGACAAGCGCTACGGCGGCTTCATGACCTCGGAGAAGAGCCAGACGCCCCTGGTGACGCTCTTCAAAAACGCCATTGTCAAGAGCGCGCACAAGAAGGGCCAGTGAGGACTAAGAGGGGCACTAGGGCTTCTCTCTCCGGGAAGTCGTCCCTAAAGCACCCTGCCCACACCCGCCCTGCTGCCGCGGGCATTCAGCCTCTTAAAGCTGTCTGTAGATAGGAAATAAAAACCTTTCAAGTTTCGCATCAGATTCTGACTTTGTAGACTATGAATAAATTAAAAATACATAGCGATCAAAATATTTGAGCAGGAACATAATGGTTTCCATGTGATCAAGTTGTAGAATATTTCACAGGACATAGATGGTGCAAATGGAAAGAAAACGTGCTTCCTTCCCTTGCCCCATAAGCGGATCTTCAGGGAACCAAATGGTTTGGGTGATGGCTCAGGATTTTCCACCCTCCTTGAGTGGAAAGGCTGCACAGCTGGCATGGGTGCTGAAAGGCAGGATTCCTACCCGAGGGCTCAGGCTCCCCTGGCTCCCTGTGCAGCTCCAGAATCCTGGGTGTGGGATGTCTGCTGAGGCTGACCCCGGCTTGGGATGGCGCTGGGTTGTCAGGTGGGAAGCTGTGTTAACTGCCTCCTTTGATCTAAGTCCTCACTGTCCTTTTAGCAATTGATGTGACCATAGGCAAGTTCCTGAATTTCTCCACAATTTAGTTCTCTCATCTACTCTTCCTAGTGTGGGCGCTAATGTGAGGATTACAGGAGAAAATGGATGTAATCATTTTTAAATCATTGACAGGCTAAGTGTGAGGGCTGAGGGTTGATATCAGTTTCAGGTACTCTCAAACACAGACATGGTATCTTCTTTCTTTCATCACCTCTTCCCCACTCCCAAATGGAAACACACACACACACTTGTTTAAATACAACACAATAGACACAAGTACTTCTTCCAGCCCCTCAGGCTCAAGCCAGGATAGAGGTCTTCTGACTACCCCTGCTGTACCCAAGCTCCTCCTTTCCCATGTGGTCCAGCTCCCTCCATGCTCAGTACTCTACACTCCTAACAGCCTCCTAACCAACCGCTCTCCTCATCTCCATTCACTCTCCACAGCCCATCATTGCACATTCTTCATATTAATGTATACAAAATCTTGGTTTTCACACATTCCCTGGTTTAAAAGTCAAAACAGTGCCCTCGCCCCAGTTTTCCATCAATTCCAAACTACTACTAGGCATGGCTTGCGGAGTCCTTGTCAACAGGGCTTGCTCTCTTTACCAAAGTTTGTTGCCCACATTTTGCCCAAATGAAGTTTCTACCTTTCACCTATTGGTCTTCTCATTGTTCTCCCATCCTTCCTCACCCTCTACCTGGAACCCTCCACATTCCTCTGCCCTTTTTATTATAAGCCCAGGGTCTCAGGTCAACCTCCTGCGGCAGTGTTTCCATCCCCCTCTGCACTGGATGACAAACTCCTTGCTGCATGCGTGTCTTATTCTCTCCTCTCTGGGAATTTCCAAGCTCCACAAGGCAGAAGTCAGGTGTTGTGTTTCTTTCTTTCTTTCTTTCTTTTTTATTATTTTTTTTGAGACAGAGCCTCAAGCTGTCCCCCTGGGCAGAGTGCCATGGCTTCACTGCTCACAGCAACCTCCAACTCCTGGGCTCAAGTGAGTCTCCTGCCTCAGCCTCCCAAGTAGCTGGTGCCACAGGCGCCCGCCACAACGCCCGGCCATTTTTTGGTTGCAGCCATCACTGTTGTTTGGCGGGCCCGGGCTGGATTCGAACCTGCCACTCTAGAGGTATGTGGCTGGCGCCCCAGCCACTTGAGCCACAGGCGCCGAGCCTTGCGTTTCTTTCTTATGTCCCCATGGCGTTTTTACAATGCTGGGGCCACAGGTTTGCATGTTTGCACACATTTACACTTCACAAGAGACTCACAGATAACAGAGATGCACAAGTACATGTCAACGGCATTAGGCATACCAGCGGATGGTACAGATCAAAGCCAGCTGGGAATATTTGTGTATAGCACTTAAACACACGTAATTTTGGTGCTCTAGGAGTTCACAATGAAAGAAAATTGGAATGTATCCTGGGACATCCTGATTTGAGGGGAGTCAGAAAGGCAGATTTCTTATGACAAGATTTCCCCTAGGGAGGTTACGCTAGAATGAAACCAGGCTCAGGCCTCCCTTACCGAGGATGCGCCCCTGCTGGGTATCCTATTCTTAGGTTTCCATCTCCATTGCAGCCTTTCCCTTCCACCTCTTTTCTTCTGAGGCAGGTAGAGTAATGGTCGGTGGGGGTGGCTAAATGTCAGTGGTACCCTGTTGGTATTTTCAGATTCCATTTGCCTCTCAAAAAACCATTTACTTTAAAGAAATCAAAATAGACAGCCATGTGGTGACAACATTAACATTTATTTGAAAAGGGCATCACAAAGGCTCATTGGGAAATTGCGACTAATAGTCCTAAAGAGTGAGTGTGCTAAGAGTCCTGCCACCTACACTTCTTCCCACTCCCCTCTTTCCCTCCCCCTAAAATCAAATGAATATGATTCAATGAGTTTAAAATACAGAAAACTGCCACAGGCACTAACTCTGCACTCACGTATAAATACGTCAGCTACTATATACATATATGGTCGACTACGAACTACATTACACACACATGTGCACACACATGGGCACACCCACTCAGCCAGGTCATGGAGTCTTAATGCACACAAACACGTGACGACGTCTGGGCTGCAGCATCGGTGGACTTACAACTCTGCACTCCATGTGTCCGGACCTACAGTCACGGAGGAAGAGCTCAAAGGGGCACAAGATGGGCTTGTGAAGCCCTGTGGTCCCTGCAGGAGGAGACCTGATCAGCCAAGGGGTGCTAAAGGACAGCACAGAAAACTGCCGTCTGGTCCCAACAGGGCCGCAAAGCCCTTCTGCTGCCCCTGTCTCCTCCCACTTCCCCAGCTAGCCAGACTCTAGGCAAGCCCACCATGACCATCCCTCTTCAGACCTAGGCCAGAAGATTTCTAGAGGTAAGGGGATAAACAAGCAACAAGCCGCCCTAAATCTTCTCCCTAGCTGAAAGGAGGATGCCTTGTTAGCACAGCCTGCTTGCCAGGGCCTGGGGTCACAGAAAGTGGGCACAGACTGTCCTGGTGAGATGACCTCCCTGTCTACCTTTAAACCTAATACTCAGCCTGACAGCGTTTAGTCTTTTCCCATGGGCCCCCAACTGGCCAGCTGCCATTTTCAGGTCATGAAGAGAAATGGGGAAAAACAGTCTTGCTTTTCAGCAGCACTCTCTGTAGCCAGGTTGGAAGGCAACTGCAAAGCATCGGACCCCCAGGGCCCTCAGAAGAGCCCAGAGGTTCGGCCTTTGAGCTATTCAGATGAACCTCAGAGCTATTTGATTCTTAGTCCATCTGAAACCTGTTCTATGGGATCTGGAATGTGCAAGGCAAAGGGGAGCACAGACACAACATTCACGCTTCTTCAAGTGCTTCAGAGGGGCCCAGGCCCACCCTCTCCTGCTTGTCCATTTACATCTGTGTATGGGGCCGGGGGCTGGATAGAGGGGCGTAACTGGAGGACTTTTCTGGTTCTTCTGTTGGGTCTCCCACTCTGGTGAGGAGGCTGTTTAGGAGATAAGAAAACACTTATTTCTGCTTTATAAAGACAGAGGAAAATGGAAACAGGCACAGGGCCCTGGGGGCCCCACTGCAAGGAAAACCACAGCAGCCCTTGTTGGTGCCTTCGCTGATCCAGCGCTTGTGCATCTGTGTACTCAACCACTTCAAGGGAACTCAGATTCTCCAGCACACGCCACTCCTACTTGCTGAGTTCTGTCAGCAGACTGCTTACCAAACTGTCCTTGCCCCACAAAGCCAGAATCCCCAGTGGCTTTGGGGAGCAGCTTGCTGGCTCCTCTTGGCTCCAAGTGACAATGGAGAATGGCACCACAGATGTCAGGGGGCTTGGAAGACAGGATACAGGAATGCCAACAGCCCGGGCACCTTCTTGCCCTCTAGATCCCATCAAGTTCTGCTTTGCCACTGTCCCAGGGCTCATGGTGGTGTGGTAAAGGAATTTGCCATTTAATTTTTCATTCCAGTCAACACCCACCTTAACATTTCTGATTCTGAGGTATGGCCAGAATCCAGGTTTCACTCCATGTCAATAGGCAGCCTGGTATGCTACTGAGTGTAAGTTTAAACTGAAACTCAAAAAAATGACCAATCCTCCAAAAGAAGTGCATCCTTGCTAAACAGTGATGATGTAAAGGAAAGCTCCCGTGGGTAGATGGAGAGGAAATAGTGGTCGAGTCTATGTAGAATGGGAACCTGTTCTCTCTCTCTCTTCCCTGGAGGAATAGAGACAGCTGAAGAGTCCTAGAGTCTCTGATTCCATAGAAAGACACTCCAGGGAAGTGATTCCTAAGTTCCAGGGCCCCACAGGCAGTGCTCAGGGTGAAGTTGCCATGATGGTAGACCTTGACATCAAGTAGACATGACGAACAAACAGGTCTGGCATCAAAGCAAGCATATGATAAGACACAGGAAGGCCCAGTGAGGAGCGACGTGTTTGTGGCTCAAGATTTAGATTTTGTTTACAGTTTCTCCCAGAGGTTATTTGCCTTCAAATGTCTTATTTTAAACTTGGTTTCTTAATATGAAAAATTAAAGAGAAATCTAAGCTCATGCTTGTAAATTTGGGTTGAGCATAAGCCAAAATGCCATAAAGCATAGCCAAAAGCCACGGGGGTGGGCAGGAGCCTCCGTGCTTGAGCCCTGCAATCACACAGGCCACCTGGAAGCCACGTGCCCACAGCACCAAGATGGTGACCAGGGGAAGAGCTTCATCTGATGTGTAGAAACAACAGCAGAGGGTCAGTAGCCCCTACTCCAAGAAATTTATTGCACATATAATGGGAGGTGCATGTGTTAAGATTCTCCTTGAATGTGGAAAATACATCCATCTATCCCAGTAACCAGGCTCTACCTGTGCATCGTGGGGGGCCAAATGTACCATGCATGGGGTGTAATTAAGGGTGTCCTAAGAAATAGCCCACTTCTGGCCCCGTGTCACATTGCCTAAAATTATACTCTAAAAGGGGATTCTCAGCTACTCAAGAGGCTGAGGTGGGAGGTTTGGTAGAGCAATCCCCAGGAGTTCAAGGCCAGCCTGGGTGACATAACAAGACCCCCATCTCTAAAAATTAACAAAAAATTCCTTTGAGTTACTATTCAAATTCCTACTCACTCTGTGTCTTTTTAAAAAGCAAACTCTTCAGGGAGGGAACATTTGACCATTTATACCTTACTGTGAGTTATATGGGCTCAGAAAACTTATGGGGAATTTGATTGGAGGAGAAAGAAAGACTATTTTGGACCACAGTGCCCTGGCGCAGGAGGGGGCCCAGGTGAGGTTCTGGGAGGCACTGTCCATGTGTCAGCTCCTTGCTGCACTTGTCAGTTACATACAGAGACAGGGACAATGGAAACCCAGAACTCATGGGGGTCTCTACTGCCTCTTCCAGGCCACAGAAGTTGCCAGATGGTATCGATGTCCCAGACTTTGTCCAACGAGTGAAGACATCATTGCAATAGCAGGTGCTAGATCCTTCTTGAAATATCCAAAAGGTTGACTTTGACTTCAGACATCCTTGAGTCCCAGAGGCCCCCCAACTGTGCTGCATGGCTGGAGCCTCCTCCATAGGAGGGGATGTGGGCAGCCCTCGGGTCCCTGAAGTGCCTCCCTTTTTGCACCTGGGTTTTCTTGGTCTGCCTTCCCTCAACCCAGAGGCTCTAGGAATACCTTGGGACTCACAGAAAAAAGAGACCCAAAATAAGTCAATTCAGAAAAACACCCACAAGACACAGGTCCACGGGGGTGGGGGTGGGCTATAAAAGCTCCCACTGAACAATGGAGGTGACAACATGCTTTAGCAGGACAGGGACTCGCTCTACCCATGGCTACCTGCAGCCCATCCCATGCTGTCCCCGCCATGCTCTCTCTACCCTCAGCTCCTATTATAACAGTAAAAAGAAACATGAACAGATGACTGGAGAGGGAGCGAGGGAGTGGGAGACACATCAGAGATGTGAGGGGGCTGCTCAGATGAAAGCATCCATCTCTCACTCTGTCATGTCTCTCCAAGGTGAGCCAGCATGGAAAGGTTGGTTCCTCCTGACCTCAGTCTACAGCATCCTTTGATCAACAAGGCCCCATCTAGTCCTCTCTTCTGGGGAGTGGCAGGTGCACCCCTGATGCACCCCTCCTCTCAACACACCGAGCAGGTGCTTCTGAGTCCCTTAGTTGCTTCCTGGAGACACCCCATGTTTCACTGCCCCGGCTGACACAAAAGAGAAGACAAAGGGCACAGGTGAGATGCTTATTGGCTGTGCAGGGGCGGGTGGCTGGATCTCCCTCTGGACGGGCAATGAGGGGGTTGGAGGGCCAAGAAGGACCAGAGCGTCTCCACCTTTGCTCAGCTGGGGAGCAGCCACTGCCTCAGTGACTTTTTCTCAGAGATCTCAGCTAGATTTCCAGGTGGTCAGGTGGGCGTGAGGGTGAGTCTCTTCCTCAGACTCCATCCCCCTGAGGAGCTCTCCCTCTTGGAATTCAGTAAACGCACAGATCGGGAAACTTCATCTCATAGACGGGGATGGAATGGTTCTGCGGCTGACCGTAGGCTGCAGTGATGGTTCCTGATGGACTTGGAGGAGGCCTAGGGGCAGAAACACATGGAGAAGAAAGGCATGAAGAGGGAATTCTGGGGTCACACCCCCGTGCAGCTGAACAGAGCAGGTGACTTGGGTTTCTCTTTGCCCAGGGACCTCACTCCATAGGTTCCCAGGTTTTCAAGTTGTTCTAGAAACTATAGCTTGAAGTCAAGCTTCTCTGCAGGCTCTGTACTAACATTGCTGCTTTAGAAAGTAAGGCATCAGCCTAGGACACTAGGAACTCCCAGCTCATTCCAGGTTTCACTGAGCTGGCCTTTTCTCTCCCGAGTCCCTATTTGCCTGTCTAGGAAGAATTAGTGGCTAGATTCCAGCCATCCCTGGGGATAGATGCTAGAGGGGGTGGGTTGGAGTGGAGAACTGCAGAGACTTGTGAGAGAGGAAGACTCGGACAAGGGGCCCATCACTGGGCCACAGAGGTAGGGGTCCCCTGGTCATGGTTACCACTTACCGGATGGTGATTTCAAAGATTTGATTGAGTTTGCTCTGGAGCAGTGATGCCTAGACACAAACAGAGGGGGAAGTGAGCTGGAGCCCCTAGAACCGGCCCACCTGTCCAGAGCATATGCTGGAGATGCAGGGCAGTCACAGCCTTAGGAGGGCAAGCAGGGGTGAGCATGTCCTGGGCCTTGGGCCCTGACTGTGGATTCACAGCAGGGAGAGCCACCCATTGTAGGCTGATTGGGGACAGGACAGAGGGTTAGAAACACCAGGGAGGATATCGGCAGGCAGCTCTCAGAAGGGTTTTCTCCCCAGTGCAGTGTTCTGCGGGGCCTGGAGCTGGGAGACTTGGAGCAATTACCAGCTCTCTCCCTACATCTGAAGGAGCAGCCTGGCCAAATTGGCGGGTTAGAGATGATCTCTCTGGTCCCTTCTGGCCCCCACTGAGTGGGGGTGCAGAGTGAGCTGCATGTGTTCAGGAACCAGGCCCCAACTGCTAAACTGTGTCCCAACTACTGGCTCCTGAAGTGGCCCACATCTCCCTCTTGAGGTGGGATGTGAGGTTAGAACAACATAGGCCCAGGGAAAGCTATATTTTATCTACATATATGTAAATATCATATGTAAAACATAATACATAAAATAGAAAATTACACGTATTATATTTTTATTTTATTTATGTATTTTTTTTTGTCTCCCTTGGTAGAGTGCTGTGGCGTCACAGCTCACAGCAACCTCCAACTCCTGGGCTTAGGCAATTCTCTTGCCTCAGCCTCCTGAGTAGCTGGGACCACAGGCACCCACCACAATGCCCGGCTATTTTTTGTTGCAGTTTGACTGGGGCTGGGTTTGAACCCACGACCCTTGGTATATGGGGCCAGCACCCTACTCACTGAGCCACAGGTGCCACCCTATTTTATTTATTTTTTTTGAGAGGTTTACTCTATCACCCTATGTGGAGTGATGTGGTGTCATAGCTCACAGCAACCTCAAACTCTTGGGCTCAAGCGATCCTCTGACCTCAGTCTTCCAAGTAGCTGGGACTACAGGCACCAGTCACCACACCTGGCTAGTTTTTCTATTTTTAGTAAAGATGGGGTCTTGCTCTTGGTTAGGCTGGTTTGGAATTCTTGAGCTCAAGCAATCCACCCACCTCAGCCTCCCAGAATGCTAGCAGTACAAGCATGAGCCACTGTGCCCAGCCACATATTGTAGTTTTATTGAGAGGAAAAGTTATTTGTAGATTTCGAATGCTTACAATTGTTTTGTTGTTACTAAGATCACCACTGCACTAACAAATCCTGGCATGCAATAGGTTTTGAGAACTGTGAGCTCCTCTCCAAGGCCAGACACGGTCCTCATTTCTCTTGTCTGGCTGTCTCTCCCTCAAATCTCCTTTCCAAGCCCTGGCTGTTCCACGCCCTTATCAGGGTCCCCTGATGCAAAGAGGGCCCTGCCACAAATGCTGACGCTCCTTCCTTTGCACACATCCTCCCCCCCCTCACCCCCCCGGCTCTCTGTAAGGTAGGGGCCGTCACAGCCACAGCTTCACCGAGTCATCATGAGGATGAAATAAGTGAACACAGAAAGACGCCCTGGCACACAGTAGGTCTTCTTTTCACCCCTGTTGGGGTGATTACAAAGAGTATGAGCTGAATGTCTTAAATAGGCACTCCTGAGGTCAGGACTTCTTCCTTGTGTGAAAACTGTGAGGTCTGAACGAGCACCTGACCAAGACCCAAGTTTTTTGGATCACGGGGGAGCAATGTGGCAGGGTTTTTTGGGGAAAACCTGGTGGGCACAGCAGAAGCTCTCGGTGTTGGAGCATAAACCTTACCATCCTGGTCAAACAGCAGAGACCTCCTGTAAACTGAATTCTGCCCTGGACCAAGATCCGGTCTCTTTGTGGCCCCCAAGGACTCATAGAGAGAGTTATCCTCACTCACCCGGGCCCCGCAGTGTGCTGCGATCTCCTCAAAGGGGGCCTTCTGGAACTTCTCTACCACCTGTCGCCGTCGCTCACGTTCCTGTTCCTCGACCGCTACACTGTCCACTGCGACAGAGAACTGGGTTAGCACTGGGCCCTGCCCACTGATGGGGAAGGGGACGAATCTGAATGGTGTAAAGGAGTGGTTCTCAACCTTCCTAATGCCACGAGCCTTTAATACAATTCCTGTGGGTCGCGACAGGTTGAGAACCACTGGTGCAAAGACAGGTGGACTCCTCCAGAAAGCCACTGCCCATGGGGGCTGTTCAGGCTCTTCCTCTTCACTATCACTGAAGGGACTGTGGCATGGAGGTGTGGTGCCCTCACCTTCACCTGGCCTCAGCAAGGCTAGACCTTCTCTTGATTGCATCTGAGGGTTCAGCTTTATCTTCATATAAAGTTTGAGAACTAGTCAAGTGGACCCTTCCCTGGGCTGTCAAAGCCCCAAGTAGCTGGTCTGCCATGAGTACTCTTCACTAGAAGGTCCTGTAACAGTTGATCCTTTGGGTACTCTAAGGATAATTTAAAAAGGGATGTCAACAGTGCAGAAGCCAGGCAGACCATGAAGCCAGCACAGGAGCCCTGCGGCAGAGCGTCTGATGCTGGTTAGTTTAGCTTTCTGTACATGGCACTTGGCCCCCCAAATGAGTTGGCACCAAAAAGAAAAAGGGGGAAGGGTATCAAAAATGTTCAGCATACTCAGTTTAGGAAGGCAAGCAGTGTGTGCACTCAGAGAGGGTACCATTAATGACAACAGAAAGAAAAAAAGATTTGGCATCTAGGGTGGCACCTGTGGCTCAAAGGAGTAGGGTGCCAGCCCCATAAGCCAGAGGTGGCAGGTTCAAACCCAGCCCTGGCCAAAAACTGCAAAAAAAAAAAAAAAAGATTTGGCATTTAAAGGAATAATTTTTCTTTTTCTTCTTTTCTTTTTTTGAGACAAGAGTTTCACTATGTCGCCCTTGGTAGAGTGCCATGGCGTCATAGCTCACAGCAACCTCAGACTCTTGGGGCTTAAGTGATTCTCTTGCCTCAGCCTCCCAAGTAGCTGGGACGACAAGCGCCCGCCACAACACCCTGCTATTTTTTGGTTGCAGCCGTCATTGTTGTTTGGCAGGCCCAGGCTGGATTTAAACCTGCCACCTTAGGTGTATGTGGCTGGTGCCTTAACCACTTGAGCCACACAGGTGCCGAGCCAAGGAATAATTTTTCTTTTCTTTTTTTTTTTTGAGACAGCGCCTCAAGCTGTCCCCCTGGGTAGAGTGCCATGGCATCACAGCTCACAGCAACCTCCAACTCCTGGGCTCAAGCGAGTCTCCTGCCTCCGCCTCCCAAGTAGCTGGGACCACAGGCGCCCGCCACAACGCCTGGCTATTTTTTGGTTGCAGCCGTCATTGTTGTTTGGCGGGTCCGGGCTGGGGATTCGAACCCGCCACCTTAGGTGTATGTGGCTGGCGCCTTAGCCGCTTGAGCTATAGGCGCTGAGCCCGGAATAATTTTTCAACAGAAAAATTCTCTTATTTTGAATACTTCATTGCCTAAAAATCCAGACAGAAGAGGGGAAATCCATTTTAAAGTCTATTGCCCTTATTAAATCAATAATATGATTTGTTCTTAATATCTTCTACTGATCACCTTGTTTTATAATTATACACTGCCAAAAATGAGTCAAAATCATTACTCCAAATTACATTTTACTTGTAGCCTTAATTGATTACTTTCTTTTTTTTTTTTGAGACGGAGCCTCAAGCTATCCCCCTGGGTAGAGTGTCATGGCATCACGCTCACAGCAACCTCCAACTCCTGGGCTCAAGCGAGTCTCCTGCCTCAGCCTCCCAAGTAGCTGGGACCACAGGCGCCCGCCACAACGCCTGGCCATTTTTTGGTTGCAGCCGTCATTGTTGTTTGGCGGGCCCGGGCTGGGGATTCGAACCCGCCACCTTAGGTGTATGTGGCTGGCGCCTTAGCCGCTTGAGCCACAGGCGCTGAGCCAATTGATTACTTTTAAGGGCAGCTGTCATTTCTAGAAAAACAGGGCCACACCACGGAACCCCATCAAGAGAGCAAGTGCTTTCAACGGCAGCTTTGGCAGCTGTGACGAGTTTGTCAGAAGGCATCAGCCTCTCCCCTCATCTCGGCGCTGGATCACACCTGGGAGGGTAGCAGATCCTGCTGAATTTGCCTGGGAGCAGGTCCCAGGACCCCACCCTCTATCCAGAGCCCCTCAGAGCCCCTGTCTTACCAATGGCCTTCTTCAGCGTCTCATAGGTGATCTCTTCAGCAGGCACTCGCTGGAGGAGAGGGGACAGAGATGTTCAGCAAGGTGGGGCAAGGGGGGAGGTGGCAGCCCCGGCTTCCTTGGCTACCTGGTAGCCCCTCCCCCTCCTCCCGCTGCTTAGGAGAATGTCCCAATAGGCAGAACCTCCCTTAGACACCCATGTTCCCACCAGGGACTCTGGAAGCCCCCTGAGCAGACACAGGAGAGAGCAAGCGAGATGTTGGTGGAGAAGCTAATTGCTCATTGTATTCAGACTCCAAGGGGAGTCCCAGGTCTCCCCTAAAAGAATCCATGTTCCCCTTCCCCCTACCCAAGTCTGTCTCATCAAGCTCCATGGGAGGGGAATGATGCAATTTTTTAAAATCCTCAGAGAATATAGAAAATATTGAAAGAAACAGGAGACAGTTGGCAAATATCACCTCAGATGTAAATTTCAAGAACTGAATAACATTTTGAAGACTTATGATATTAAATTACCTACCAATGTGATCTGAATATTTAATAAAGGTAAGAAATAAAAGATTAGCACTGATTCCCTATCTCACCCCAGGTCCCCACTGAGGTTGGTCCAAGACCTGGGTCATGGGATCTCTGTTCTCTACAGAGCCTATAAAAAAGGTGGGAAACACTAAAACTCAAAGAAGGGCACTGCATGGACGCATGGCTGTAGGTCAGATGCTGAAAACAGAGAAGGCGCATGGAGCAAACTTCAGGAATTCCCCACTAGACGATGAGCTGTGTGAGGCAAGACCCCCAGTGAACTTGTTCCGTGACTTAAACATGATATTAAACAAAAGAAGCAGCCACAGAAGAGAATGATTTCATTGACATGAAGTTCAAGAAGTGACACAACTCAGGCCAGCGGCTCCCTTGGGTAGCCCCCACCCCCTGGGGCAATGACAATGTTCCATTCATTCATTGGCCCAGGTGTGATCACCTGGGTATCTGAATTTTGTGAAAATTCCTTGAGCAGTACTCTTTTCAACTTGTTTGGCATTCAGTAAATTCTTGTTTGAGCAGGAAAAGACAGATGTGTGGATATGGGACAAGTCATTCAACAAATATCAAGTGGGCACCAATTACCCGTAGAACTCTGGGTGAGTCAGAAGAAAGGGCAAAGTTTGTTAGTAGGGGAATTACACACAGGGGAGGCCTGGTGAGCCTCCCTGAGGAGTCACCCATCCTCTGTGCATCCACCCACCATCTACTGTCAGCACCAACTGATGCCTGCCAGTTGCTGGGGTCTGTGATGGAACCAAGTCATCTCTGGGCTGAGCTGAATCTTAAACAGAGGAAGGAACTGACATTTGAGGCTCAGGAGGCCACCAGTGAGAGGGGCTGTATAGCCAGCTAAGCATTCCTCCTCCTCCTGTGTCACTTTACCCCTCAATCCTGGAGGGTCTCTCACCTCCTGGGAAGGGAGAGTCACCACTGCCGGGGAGAGGGCAGCCAACTGACCTGAGGCCTAATACTCTGGAGCCTCCCAGTCTTTTGGAGCTGAAGGCCTTAGAGGACACTCAGCTCAACCTCTTCATTCTACTTATCTAGTTAGCCCAGATAGGGGTTTCCTTCCAAATTCCCCGGGAAGGTTCCAGATGAGCTGTGGAAGCCCAGGACTCCATGGAGGTCTGCCCCCAAGAATGAAGTGGCCAAAGGCAGGGTTCAAGGGAGCCTTGATTCAGGGCCTCAGTGACCTCTCCTAGCTCCGATCCCATCCAGAGAAAGGCTCAGCGTCCTCCATGTCCGCCTCAGCCCTGATGGGCACAGGCTGGGGAAGGCCAACCTGCAAGGCCCAGGGACTTCCTGTCCTGGTTCCACTCCATGTGTCCACCGTACTTTCTTTGAGGTTTCCCCTGCCCCAGTCCATTCCCTTAAGTGAGGCAGTCAGCATTAAGTTCAAGTGTGACGTCCCTGTGCACTCAGCTCCCTCATGGGTCCTTCTCCCGCCTCTCTGCCCCTCGCCCCCATTGCTTTCTGATTTGGTGGGTAATTGGTGTTTCTATTTTGATCCCTTATTCTCCCTTACTCATGGTACATCTGCTTTCCTCGCTGAGGTAGAAGAAAAGAGGTAACATCAGGGGAGACATCACATGTTAATTTGAACAGCAATTAGATATTCTGAGTCCTCATGCGAGGGTGGAAGGAAGAGAGATCTTTAAGGCACTGCTGCAGCTTTCTCTTAAAGAATCTTGGTTGTCAAGGGTGGGGTGCGGGGTGGGTAGGTTGAGCACAGAGGATTTCTAGGGTAGTGAATCCTCTGCATGTCCCTGTGATGGAGGATGCAGTGGTGGGTACATCTGTCCCAACCCCCAGGATGTGCAATGCCAAGAGCAGCCCAGTGTACACTGCAGACTTTGGGTGACAGCCATGTCATGGAGGTTCATCCCTGTCACGGATGTGCCGCTCTGGTGAGGGATGTTCATATTCGGAAAGGTTGAGTGTGTGGGAGACAGGGGGCATATGGGAAATCTCTGTACCTCCCTCTCAGTTTTACTGTGACCTAAAATGCTTTAAAACATGATCTTAATAAAAACAAAAGAATCTTTATTGAGACATGTGGGAGAGACACTATGAAAGCTGTTCCCACCATCATCTCGCTTGTTAAGCCTTCTAATAATTTCCAACATGGAGCACACCTGCCCCCATGGGAACAAGGGATGATGACCAGCGAGCCTTCCAGGAGCAACTTTTATGATACTCTCATGGGAGTAGGGGGACACACTAGCTATATCTCCAGATGGAAGCGTTTACAGTCTGTATCCACATGGTGAGAGCCAGTAAGAATAGGGAATGCACCCGAGAAGCTGGCTTTGCATGGGACCTAATGCATTGAGTGAGCCTGGGGCCAAGCACCCAACCCGCTGGAGGTGGGAGCTTTGCCAGGACAGTGGCGGGAACACTCACCTCCTCCTTCTCTGGGCTGTTCCTCGATTCCACCTCCACTTGCAGCGAGATGGTCTCTCCAATGCTCCTCCTCTTGGATAAGCGATCCTCATCTAGAAAAGCAGCAGCCCACAGGCTGGAGACTCCAGGACCAAGCCCGCCCCCCCTCACACTCCACCCCGCCTCCCAAGTCCTCACTGGGTCCATAATCCTCTAAGGCTCAGTGCATACTCAGGTGACACTGAAGCTTATAGAAGCTTCCAATTGCTGTGGGCCTTCTTC